ATCTATCTATCATCTACCTGTCTGTCTGTCTATCTATCATCTATCTATCTATCTATCTATCTATCATCTATCTATCTATCTATCTATCTATCTATCTATCTATCTATCTATCTATCATCTATCTATTATCTATCATCTATATCAACCATCTATCTAATCTTATAACCTATCATTTACCTACCATTAATAATCTATCTGTACTTTATAATCTGTCATCTATCTCTCTATATCTATCTGTGATGCATAACAAAACTGTTAGCAGTTAAATTTGGGTGAGCAAATAGAGTTGGGGGACGCAAACCTATTTTTACATTTATGGATTGCTTGGAATTAATGTGATAATAGCTTTATTGTTTAACAATATCAAAACTTATTTAGGGAGTAGAGTTTCTGCTGTTTGTTTTTTAGCATTTGAAAACGTTTGGTATATGTTATTGAACAATAGCTGTTTACTATACTGTGGTAGTTGGCAGCCAGTTTAGCTATACAGAGCAAGAAAGATTTTCTCCCTTTTTAATCTATAGTTAATAATGGTGTGAGGTAGACCTAGCATCACCCTGAGCCCTCCAGCTGTCTCCACCCCCACGTTGTCTGCATGTCCAGAGCTGTGTGTTTAATCTCCACAGTCACTGGGTATAATTTCATATCCCAGTCATGCTCAGAGCTGAACAGGGCTAATACTCAGTAGACTGGTAATTGAAAACATCAGGGCTTATAGTTCAGGGTTTATGTTTTCTAGTTGGCTCAAAATCCTATAATCATGAGAGCCCAGACTTATAGCTGTGTCGTCTTTCATGCAGAGAAGACAATGGTTACACAGCCACAGCAAATTACTACTGGAGATTATGAGGCGAGGAAGAAGAGGCATGAAGAAAGAGGCCAGAATTCAAGTCCAGATCATATAACTACATTATCATCTGTAACATTTGGATTTTTAATTTTTTTGTGTGCATCGTATGTCTGTAGTAGTGCATACATAGGGTTTTAACCAATATGCAAACATTTCTTTGCTATCATATTATGAGACAAAGTCGAGAAAGGAGTACTGATACTCCTAACTTAGGGGCGTTGTGATTAGGTCACTCTGGAGCCAGTCCACTTTTGGTTCAGCCATGGGATCAATACTGTGAGGGAGATTAACCCCAAATCCATTTATATGAAATGGAAGGAGAGAAAATATTGATTCCCTTTTCTGGAAATGCTGCAGTTGCTCCACAAGCAAGGTCCTGGCACCTTGCTGCATTGGCTTCTGGTTTCTGATCCTCTCTGAAGGTTGATGTAACTCTTCTCCATAGGCCTTTGTCTCTGTAGCAGGGGGTGGCTCCTGAGAAGCCTTGTGAGCTCGTTCTCCAGCCTGGGAGAAGAACAGTCTTTGCCCTATGTCAACCCTCAGCCCGGTCCAAAGAAGGCCCTGTTGGCCTCTTGAGGTCATTTTCCAGTTTCATGGTCAGCTCCTGGTCCTCTAGGTGTGTGGTGTGTGATTGGCTGCCTTGAATAATCTTTCTGCCTGTGTAGTTGAGACTGTAATATTATGGAATAGCATGATTGGCGGTCCAATAATTCTCTCTCGAGAAAATTAGAACAAGCATGATGAGAAGGTATAAAAGAGCTGCATTTGCAGGAGGTATCAGAAGCCATCCTGCCCCCTCAGGCTTCCCATAGATGTAACGCCACCCACCGTGCTTGTATCCACGTGTAAGCTGGACCCTGTTCTCAAGTATATTTCATTAATAAAAGACATCAACCTAAATCCAATTCCTCCTCTGAGAAATTCCTTCCATATGTTACCATTTTATTGGCCTTTTATGTTTACGAGTCTTTTGCCTTTCTATGCTGTGTACCACGTGCATGCCTGGTACCTGCAGAAGCCAGAAGAGAACACTGGAGCCTTTGGGACTGGAGTTAACAGATGTGAATTGTGTGAGTGCAGGGAATTAAATCCAAGTCTTCTGTATCAGTCAGTGTTCTTGACCACTAAGCTGTCTTTCCAGCCCTCTTCTATATTTATTACTGAGATCCTATTCCAATCACTTAAATTTTAAAGGAAAAGTCTTTGTCCTCCTAATTTCCAAATCAATTAAGATTATTGAGACACCAAACCTAAACAAAATTAGGTTTTAACAAATTACTTAGGTGACAAGTCACACAAAAGCCAGAAGTTAGTCATGAATATAGAGGGTTTTTATGTTTT